CTGCGGCTGCTGCTGCGACTACTGCTGCGACAATAATACCACAGCGCTAGTGATCAGCTAGTGGCCCGTGCTTTTACTATTATTCTTATTCTTTCTGTTGCTCGTGCTATTGGTACTACTATATTACTATTTGTGTTCTTCCCCCACTAGCATTGACACCCCTACCATTACTATTACTACTGTTCTTGCTCTGTCTCTTGCTCCGAACACTACGATGACATGTCTTTTGTTATTACCCAATACAACAGCTACTGCCGTTACCTGCTTGAATGATTGTTTCCAGGGTCCAAAAAATCATGGTCCACGTTGCAGGGTTCTAGACCTGCAGCCGCAACCCTAAACCCTAAACGGGCTTCCAGGGTCTCTCACAACCTTCAGCGGGCTTGTGGGCAGTCCTCACACCAACCGCAAGCAAGTTTACGGAAAAATCATCAGGCCACCAATCAAACTTTGATCGAATTCCATGGGAATCCTTTCCACTTCCCATGCGTAGCCGATGGTGAAATTCGTTGCACAAAGCATGTGAATCTGTTCCGGACCCATCGTACGAGCGTTGTGTTGCCAAGAGGTGGATTACCTCCCCCAACCCGCCCGCTTCACCCAGCTGGGCAATCTTGAATTGAATCACAGCCCATGTGAATGTGCTGTACGAACTCCGGGCTGTGCAGCATAAACAAGGGAGAAATACATTTTTATTGATTAGTAGAGGGATGGAACTTTCAAAACAATAAGCACAGGAATTACGTAACATGTGGAGGAAACAGAGGTCTTGTGGAACACCCAAGACAACAAGCGTCTGCCGCCACTTGGCTGTCAGGGGGGCGAGCTTGGCTTTTATGCACAACCTATGGTCGCACGAGTGTCGTGCTGCATAGCGGCATAGTAGAACGATTCATAAGCAAAGGCTTTCGTAGTGAAATGTAGGGAATTTGAGGTTTCCAAAACAACAAAGATGCAGCAACTGGTCGGGAATAGGGGTTTCGTTTTGCTTCGCAGTGAATTTGCTAGCAAAACCTGAAGAAAACCCACCACCAAGAACGTAAGACTCCCATGTGCTGGTTGGTTCATAATGACTGCTGTCGTGTTAGATACGAGAATCTTGGCAAGTCAGGTTGGTCACCAACACGAAGCGTATTTCAAAGGCATTGGATGTCGGAGCCAACGCCTTAGCATCAATGGATGGTCTACGCACAGGTCAGAGAAGACCGACCAATTGAACCTCTCAACATGTCAGGCATGCAACGCGCTGCTATTGAAGGCGCGAAGCTAACAATCCTTAGAGAGCTGGAACAGAATAAACCAAAAGCATCAGTCTACAAGCTATCCTATCTTCATGATGCCAGGTCAACCAGATCGGATCCATTTCGGAGGCGATCGATGCTGCCAACATGAAGACTGCTTAGATTTCCCCGGACGACTTAACATCGCTTGTGTGCATGTTATCGATCTCGAGAAATCCACCAAGGTCCATGTACAATGGCTGGGGTGTCATGGTGTCTCATCGCTCTGGAGAGACGGAGGCGAAGCCTTCACACTGGGAGTATTGTCTCGATCACGAATTGTGATGTTCTTGATGAGCATTGATGTGTTTGATCAGGACTCCTTCATCGCCGACTTGGTGGTCGGACTGCGCACAGGCCGGACTTCGGCCAATGTAGACCCCAAAAACAGAACAAAAGCACAGAGCATTCTAAGCCCAGAATGCCTGAGAACCATTGCAAGAGCACCCCTCAACCTCCGAACACTTCTCCGTGAGTCCGACCATACTATGGTGGGAGCGCCATGGCAGTCTTTCCAGGACATGCGCCCCACTCTGGCAGAATCCAATCAACAGTGCGGCCCTTCGACCGCGAGCGGTTTGGGGCACAAAATGCTGCATCAAAAACACGCGGCACTGGCGGCAGTGCGTTTCAGCGGCGCCAACGTATTGGATCTTTCACACAGCTAGCGCCGAACTGCAGAAAGCATGCGACTCGGGCGGAACTGTCTGCCGTTTGATCCAAGAGAGTTGCGGATCCGGGCGCGCCTGCAGCAGCTGCTTCGTGCGGTGCCACATCCATGTGCTCCCCGTAACAACTCCGTTGCTGCCACCTTTTTTCGGGGAAATGGTGAGCTACGAGCCGCATCGTTTCAGGTCAGATTAAGACTGGCGCGCCTTGCCGCAGCGAGCGCTTGGCGAAGTACAATCAGTCTCTTGGATTCACTGGCCAGCGATTGCTTTTCGGGTTTAGAATGCATGCCTGCTTGTTGAGGCTGCTGCGCATTGAAGAAGAACTTGGGTCCAAGGCAAGGGGCGCATCATGAGTGATTGACATGGAGCTTTTGTAAGCAATCGTCATTTGCGAGGCCGTGTATGCTGGGGAGAAGTTTCGCAACCCTTCCGCCTAGACTCTGAGCACAACATGCTTTTCCGTCCTTGAAGCCTTGAGCAGCGCCTGCAAATACTTCCAATGAGTGCACGCGCTGTTCGTTCTCGATGCACATATGCTTTCTGTTTGACGACTCTGGTCCAGGAGGTTCTTGTTTGTCTAGTGAAAGACATAAGTTTTGGCCAAGTTGAATCACCGGTGAGGTTGTTGTGCTGGACCCGTGACTTCGTTTAAAAAGATCGGCCAGTCAAGCAATAAACCTACATCTTCGTGTGTCCAATTCCATACTTTATCACACTCGCCCGCGGGCGGGCGTGTTGCTCCTTGCCTTGCACGTTTGTGAACAACAAGTGCTGGCCTGTGATTTTCACTCCCTGCAATCTGCTTGCTCGAACTTGAGCGTACTTGTTCATGGAGAACTCCCTGCCTTGTGGTGATCTAGACTTAGCTCCCTTTCATTCAGACGCGCATCACATGACTGTATGTGGCTTCGTGTGCTCCTGCAGACTTGCGATGCCACCTTCTGGTAGGGAAAAAGATGCGCCCGCACGGCCTGTCCAGGTTTCTGGCATCGAGAAACAAATCGTCAGATTCGTCAGGATGTGCAGTGGCCCAACGATGACTGTCTGCTTCAGGTCTCGAGATGATGAGTCCAAACGCAGGGGAGCAAAGATGCCGTGTTAGTTTGGCAGCCTACAAGGTTAGCTACCGATTGCATGCTAGACTCGAGCATATAAGAGGACAGTTTTGTGGCACGAAGTTGATTTTCCGACACCCTTCTATTCCGATGGTGTAACTCTTCGAAGTGGCTTTGTTGAAGCCATGCCTCGCCGGAATCCCAGAGTAGTCAAACTGCACGCCGTCTGGTGGCGACTTGTCCAGCGCATCCCATTTCCCGTTCGACTCCTTGGCATCAAAGGTGTGGTGCCACACCTTGGCAAAGACGTAAACTTCGAGGTGGGCGAGACGAAAGCAGCCCAGCTCTCGACTTGGGTGTTGCCTCAGGCCTTCTGTTCGGCGTTTGCGGAGCGTCAGGTTGTGTTTGTGCTTCTGCCTGAGCACTGGTCCGGTTGATGCAGCTGTCGGTGGTACTTCCCAAGACAGCCACAGGCGTTCTGCAGAGCGGCAGGCAAGAAAACCTAGGACAAGGCGAGTGCAAACCTCGGTGGCCCGTCGGCGCAGCCAGTGACGTGTAGAGCGAGCCAATGTGCTGCAGGCGACGGCGCATCGGACTATCTCTGCTGCGGCAATTGTACTCGGCCCGGCGCCCAGCAGCTCTGCACTTTCAGTTGCACGACAAATTCGCGAGTTGCAAGTTGCATGGCATGCTACTAATGATACACATCTGCCTAGCAATAGCACTTCGATTATCTTCACTTTGCGAGCAAGACACTTTGATACAACCTCGCGGCCATTTTGGCTTAAGTATGCTTAAGTGCTGGTTTTGTGTTTAGTTTGTGCTGTGCCCTGTTGCTGTTCTCCTGCTGCGAGCCATGAGCATCTCCCCCCACGCTATTTTGGTTCGCCGTCTACGAAGTGCCGCGAGCAGTGACAATGATACCCTGTCCGCTGCCTTTCGAGTGCTTCCTGAGCAGGAGCTTTTGAACCTGTACTGTACTACCACGCCAGGAGGTGGGTCAGGAGCGGCATCATGGTTACCACAGCGACGGCTCCAGTGAGTTTGACGTTGGGCCTCGCGAAAGCGCTGCTGCAACTGGGGTCGTTATTGCTGACCTGCTGGACCTGTCTGTGGCACCTAAAGTCACTAACCCAGCCGTTCCTGACACTGCCCATGGCCTTGTGGGCGATGACGAATTGCCTGCTGAAGCACACTCAGGAGCCGTCCTTGGACGAGGACGACGACAATGTCCCTGTGCGAGACCTGCCTCCATGGGATTGCGGATGATTTTCCTTAGCCTCTGCCTGGTCAGCTTGCCGCTCGTGCTCCCACTGTGTCTGCGCCTCCTGAACTCGGTACTGCTCCCTCTGTGACTGAGTCGTCGAGGCTCTGGCGGCAGGGCAGGCCCTGCAGCCCAGACACCTGTCGTTGTTGTGGCTGCTGCCGCTGTGCAGGACCCCTGGTCGGCTGCACCAATGTCTGTGCCTGCGGCGCAGCAGTGCCGTCTTGACCAGCACGGCTTTGCAAGTCAGCCCTTTGCTGTCGCCTCTGATGCTTTGCCCAGCAATATTTGGCCGCTTAGGTATCGCTTGCCCAAGGTGCTTGTTGATCACGGGCATGAGCTTTCTGGTTTCTGCGGGCACTGCAGTCAAAGCTGCATGCGTGCTGTTTCCTCAATCAGCCGGAAGTCTCACAAGAACCGCTACTGTGATGATTGCCGGCCTTGAGCGTCAGTTTTCTTTTCCTGGTGAGCGCGGAGGCCTCTGCCATAGAGCTTGTCTGCTGGCCTTGCTGCTTTGCCTGACTCTGATACCCCCTGTGGGTCGCCGCCACTGGGCAGCTGCTAAAATGAACAGCTTGAGCCTCGATTCTGCGGGCACCTCCTTGACTTGCTGCAGCTTTTTCTTGATTCCTGGCGGGTTCTGCGTGGTCACTGTCGTCTTTGAGCCATCGCTGGATGACGAGAGCAGCAGCTGCAGTGGTTCCGAGTTTGCTTGTGAGGACAGCTGTGATGATGCTGATCAACAAGTTGCGGCTGCACTTCACTTCCTGGAGAATTTACTTGGGTGGTTTTCGCTGTGGCCAGGAACAAGTCCTCAAAACTGCAGCACGTCTTGAAGCAGGACACGGGACGTCTCCTGTGTGGCAAGCTGTTCACTGACAACTTCGCTGTTAGCGCCCTCGCAAATGGTGGTGCCTTTTTCTGCCGCACCTGCAAAACCTGTGGTCTGGCTTCAGTCTAATTGTGTAGTGCCGGGGACGCGGTATCATCTCAGGCATCCGTTCACTTGCACTGCATAGGATACCCTTGCAGCTTCGGCCTCTGTTTTGCAGCACCTGACTGAACCAGCTGGAGTTGTGCCCCACGTCTGTAAAAAAGAGAGTCCGCATGCCATGTGTGTTGCTCAGTAGAGCGCTTGCGTGAAATGTGCCGGTAGGACTGTCAACAGCGACTTTTTATCGGGATATACAAAAGCCGTGTTGCTGTCCAGAATCACAGTCAGATGACTCGTAGTTTTCCACCCACACACACACATCCGCGCTACAGCACGATCCATATTGCATCGTAGACGTGGGCGACTTTTCACACCAGAGGTTGGCATGCCCACGTCTTCACGACCGAGATATGTCAGAGTCATGTGGCGCGCCGCTGTCTATTGAAGCTGCTCGAACCCCCACGAAGCAGCCGGTGACAATCCGTAGTCCTGGCACAAGACGGTTGTCGTGTCAGGACATGGCAAGTGTGCGAAGCATACGAAGCATTCTGCCAGCTAGTCTTGCTTTCTTCTGCTTCAATGTCTGCACAGGCAGGACGCTTGCTGAGAGTGGGAGTCACCAGTGGTTTTTGCGGTTGTCTGTCTGTGCGCGAAAGAGTGGTTTCGTGGCAGTTGGAAGGAGAATTGACCTGCGATGTGCAGACGCAATCAGAAATCGAGAAGATAGAGCTGCGCGAGCTTGAAGGGACATGCCGCATTCAATTTCCCTTGTTCATCAACTTGACCGCAGCATTCCCAAGGACACCAACGTGGAGTTACTCCAAACTGCACTCGCGGTGGCTCCTTCGCAACTAGTGACCTGCTTCGCCGAGCAGTCTTCATGATGCTTTGCCGGACTGTTCTGCCTGTGAGTCCCGGCACAGCGTGGACAAATACTCATTGTACTGTGTAGTGATCTGCACGTGGTATCACACCTGGCGATTGGTGCAATTGCGGTAGCAAGGGACCTGCCCAACTCAGTCAAAGGCAGCCAGTTACTCACAGGGATGGCTTTACTACACAGCGACTGGCAGAGAGACTCAGGTCACAAGGCTTGAGCGCAAGTCGCAAGAGGTGTATGCACCACACTGGTGCTACACAATCAGCGCGGCGAGCTCACTTGATCCTGCTGCAGAGCATGTAGCGTTTCTCGAAGAGTTTTTCCTTCGCGCGAAAGCCCAGGACTATGTCCGCAGCAGCATCGCCGCCTGCAATGGCGGAGTTGGAAGCTGCATTTGTATGGGACCCCAAGTCTGCGGAAGCTGGGGGCCATTCCCTCCCGGATCCTGGCAGGCGTATTCCTATTCCTGTTGCGCCTGTCATCCTGGCGTTCAGCAGCCAGCCACACCCACGGCACCTGTGCCTGCTTCGACTCCTGCCCAGGCTACACGGGACAACCGGATGAATGTAGATAGATTCGCAATCCTCATGAGAAAAAAAAAGCTTTAACTTAGTGAAGCGATTTCACAAATTTGTCCCGTGAGATGTTTTGCGTCAGCATTGGGACCAGGCGGAGCCACCAGCTTCAGGGGCTCCACAAGCTCCTGGCGACTCGAAAGCCAACGCCAGTGCATGCGCAGCGCACAGGGCCTGTGCTGATCTTCGCCTTGATGGCTCCTGCTGTCCGTCTGCTGATGGAACATACCTTGGCTGCTGTGACACTGCCTCCATGGCACAGCTGGATGCTGCCGCACTGGACAAAGCTTCGATGCCCATCCCGGCGTGGTGTGCCGAGATGTCAAGGCAAACCAGAGAAAATAGTGCTCCTTGGCCTCAGATCTTCAACAGTTCTTATCGGGTTCATAGAACGCGTTTTGTATCTGGTTCGTACTTGTTGACTTGTTGCAGCCAAGCCACCATGCACCTCATCCGGGCCCAGCAGCTGCGCCTGCATCAGCAAGACTGCTTGTGGTGACGGTCCTCCTCTGGCTGGAAGCCGCTCGTTGTTGACAGCTGCCCGCGAAGCATCGACAGGGATTGGAAACCTAAGCTTTGGTTGGAGTATCCAGCGACGAAGGGTTCCAAGGGCTGTCACGAACTCGGTAATTAAAATTAACTAAAAAGCAATCTAGGAATCTAGGCTTTCAAGCCCACATCTTCATACTGTAGCGAACCACAGTTTGTGCCATGCCCAGGCTGGCAGCACTACTCGACCGCGTGTTGCGGTTGCACGTAATTCACCGATTGTCGGACTCCAGCAATCGGTGGGAAAAGGGTGCTTGAGCAGCAACACCGCCGTGCTTGGAAGATGGATGTTAGGGCATGCGCAACTCCATGAGGCCTACCCTGCCGTGTTGCGCAGGGCGCCCAGGCGGCACATCCAGATTGACAAGTGCTGGTCTGCTGTCTCGCATGGGGTTCGTGCAGGACGACATGTCAATGATCTGACGACGGTGACTGTCTGAATGTTGGCGTGACGTCGACATGTTCTCATCCTGCTTGTCCTAAAAGCGGAAAGCTTTCGAATCGATGCAGCCAACATCACCTGAGGAAGAAAGTACCGCAGGGCAGGAACAGGGAAAGAAAGTGGAACAGAGGTGCGTAGTCGGTGCATACAGTTTGTCATGACAGAACTCGCTAGGGCGTCGAAACATCAGGCGAACAGTGAGGCCAATTCCGCAAATTTTTGGACACGGGCATCCGCAGAAGAGGCGAAGAACAGTCAGGGCAGCCTGAACACTTGTCGAGAAAGTATCGGATGGAAGCTGCATTAGGAAGGGTTGGTCTGCCATGCTGCGGCGAAAGCCAGATGCTGCCGACACTGGGACAGATGGGTTGTTGAAGCCTTTATCTGGGAGGCCGGGGCAGGCATCATGAGCATCATTTTGGGGCGGTTTCGGAAATTTGTGGGCGAGAATCTGGGGCTGGAGCGCGATCTTTACGGTCCTTCTGTCACGGGGGGCACAAGTGCGGAGTGGAGACCCGATGATGCTCATGATGCTCCTCTCCTTCTGTGCTCCCCTCCATTTCCCACAAAGTTCCGGCCAAAGCACCCCCCAATGATCGGCATGATGGCCGGCCCAGGCCTTTTTTAAATAGACCAAACAGGTGGACTCGACTCAGGCGATTCATGGAGTAGAGAGTATACGCTGCAAGAGATTAGGCCCATTAGGCCAACGTAAATAAGAAGATCGCTGGATAAACTTTTTGTAAGCATTTTGTGACTTGAGATCGAAGTTTTGCTGAGGCCGAGCATTCAGTCGATCGGCTCAGATGGCATTGGGTTTCTTTGTCTGTGCAATGAGGGACGCCTGTCTTGCGCTGTCAGACCTGGAGAGTAGCGGTTCTCTACCCGCTTCTCAAGCTCCAAAGGCCGCAGCCCGGGAGTTCTTGACAGATTCTCCGTCTTTGGAGAGCCCGTGGGCATGCGTCTGACCGTGAGCACCCGCTGCAGGCGTTGGACCGGCTTCTGGGTTCCACAAGAACGCCGCCAGGCACTCTGAGAGTTCACGGTTTCTGCAAAAGAGTGTTTTAGGGCCTCGGCAGGCTCTTGGTATGCATCCTTCGTCTTGCAGCGTGCCGGAGCCAAGCGACTGGGGGACGAGTGCTTCCGTAGCCGTCGGCCTCCATCTCCCTTCGAGTCAAGGCAGCCGAAAGGCGCTGTCCGAGTTCCTCGCACAGACCATCCCTGCGGGAGCCAGGAGCTGTCTGATATGAAGTCAGATGAAGTCCCGTTGATGCGGTATCGGCGACCCGAGGCCCCAAAATTCCTGGTCGAGAGGTGGGCCGCCTCGTTGCACATTTCTTTTCTCAGCTTTGAACTTACTCTCCATGCTCGCACAGGTCCCCGAGAAATGGCAGTGCTGCAGGAACCTTACGACATGCGAACTAAAGCGATAGCACGAGCATGGTAAAGCACCATGTTTGCTTCGCTGAGCAAGGCCATCAAATTGCCGAAGCACTCCAATGCGGCGTGGGTGTTCTTCGGCAGGCGAAACAGGGTGTTCTGTGAGTGTCGGCTGCAGCAATGCCGCATCTTCAAAGGCCAGCATAATGTAGCCTCTCCTAATCCCGCCGTTCACGACAGGAACCCCGGCAGTCGAATACTGCGTGGCCGTCCCGAGCATACAGTCACCTGCCGCGCAACAAGCTTCTATTTCATCTCCACACCCGAGACTCGCAAATCAAGGATGCCATCCAGCACAGCGGAACCTGGCATGTGCAGCTGAAAGGCGAGAAGGCGGATCATTGTATGTGCACCTTGACACTTGACACTCCTTCCCAAGCCGAGCCGCTCCAACCAGAGGGACATGTATATGTCTGTGCATATTCAAGTTCACCGCGGTTCGACGACCACCCTTGCTGACATCTACATCGGCTGAATAGTGGCCATACCCACAGTGATTGGATGCAGTGCATGAGTCAGACTCGCGGAGCGTGCTTTACCCGGCCGCCACGTTCATGGATGGTCATCGTCACGTTCTGCGAAAGATGGTCGGGCGACATGCACCTTCTTTGCTCGTGAGCTTGCGCATGCGTGAGAAACAGTTGCGAGACTGAACCTCTGACATTCGGCCAGGAGCATTCGTGTACAGTGTGCTGGGCTCTCTTGAGTTTCCGTGTTTTAGATCTCTTAGGCCTGTCCTGCACCAAGGGTAACGGGCCAGCGCTTGCATCAAGACAGCCGACAAGCACCGAAGTCAGAAGATGCCCATAAGATCCATGTGGCATTTCATGACTCCGAACACTTCAAAAAGCGCAACGCATGCTGTAGCAAAACGGCCTATCCGCGGGCAAATTCGAGCAGTGCAAGGTCGGTTCACGGATTACTGTCTTCGCTATCACAAGTTGTTCTATTGATCCCATTTGTGACTGCACTCCTGGCACCGCGGGATCCCGATCGGGTTGAGCCAAAACCTCCCCGGAAGGAGAAGTCAATGGTCACGAACCCTTTCTAACTAGTTGAACACGCACTGGATTTGAAGTAGGGCAGGTAGCATCCTCCGGGTACAAAACTCGGCACACGTGTCGGTGCTTTCAGTCCTCACAAACCTCGGAACATGAATCACTCTATATGGCCTGTTGCGACACTCTCATGGCAATGATCAAACTGGCATGGGCAGGCGGTTACTCGACTCACATCATTTTGGGCTCAGCAATTGAGAGAGAGAGAGCGAGAGAGAGTGTGTGTGAGCGCATATGCACGGCAAAAACACTCAGAGTGTGGCTTTCTCATTGGGAAAGTCTTCTGACAGTACGCCCCCGCATCTGGTCGGTCGGCTTCGGTCATGCTCCCGCGTATTCGTCTTTTGAAATCGGATGAGTCGCGCAGTACGGGACTCTATGGGATGCGCTGCATCTGTTCGCTCGCTTTCGCCGCGAGTCTTGGTGCCTCAGAAGTTGACATTCGAGGTTGGGAGCCTCCTCCTTCGAAGTACTGGTTGGAAGATGCACGCTCCTTCCAAGAATTCGATAGAGGCAGCCAGTTTCCGATCTTGAACTTCACCACAGCCCTTGCACCGGAAATGTTCGACCGCTTGATTCAGGATGGGCGGCCCTTTGTAGTCAGAGGCCTAGGAAAGGCTCACCCGATGCAGGGCTGGGACTGCGAATTTTTCCGCCAGAATGCTGACTTTCGGGATGTACATGGTCGCCGCGAGTATGCTGACTCTGGCAGCCAGCAGCCGCAATGGATGTCCCTTAAAAACGTAATGTCAGCCGTCGCAAATCAAGGGAGCAAGGGAAAAGCGAAGGGATCATCTCCGTACTACATCGGTATCAAGGATGTGCAGTATCGCAGTACAGAGGAACTACGCAGGGATTCCCACTACAGTCCGACTTGGACCAGGGAACTGCTGGACTTTGTTCAGAACCATACCATCGTCCCTGGCTTCATGCGAGAAAGCAACTTGCGAAGACTTCACGACACTCCGGAGTTTTGGTTCGTTCAGGCTGGTGGAAGCACAGGGGCCAAAGCCCATGTCGACGTTCATCCTGAGTCAACTTGGAGCTTGCAGCTCTGTGGCAAGAAACGCTGGCGCATCTCCCCCATCGCACCCCGAGCCACTCCCCATGTGATGAAGCTCTACCAGGATGGACAAATTTACAGCAGACCCGAGCATCGATCATGGAATCTCTTCGAGGATACGGTGCTTCTTCCTGGAGATGCCCTATTTTTCGGGCCAGCATTTATTCATCAGACTCTATCCGAAGACGTTGGGCCGGCTGCATCAGTCACGTGGCAGTTCGATGATCCCATGCCTGTAAACTTCATGCGTGCCTTCATGCCGCGACTGCGCTTCACGGCAGACTCCCAAGCTTTGTGGCCCCGACTGCAGCATCTTGTGAAACAGGCCCAAAGGATGGAGTTGCAGAAGATTCCAAAGAAGTCCGATCTGCGAGCATTCCTTGACACAGATGGAGACGGTGCCGTCACCGAGGCAGAGCGGAGAAACGTGGTTTCTTTGTGGCAAGCACTAATCTCGGAGGTGAAATCAAAGGTTCCGGAGATCCTCCGTCAGAAATTGGACCTAGGTGTTGAGGCAGTCATCGAGGATCAGCATGAACTCTCGGATCTTCCCAAAAAGTTGCAGAAAGCTGTGCGACAGTGGGAGAAGCTGGCACTGCAATTGGACACTTCTTTGGCTTCCGGCATCTCAGATGGGAGCGAGCTGTAAACAGTCTCCGCATCACAAACCCGGCCGTTTCTAACCTTTGCTGGGTGCAGATGTACTGTGCAGCAAGCGTCAAGTCTCACTCAATGCGATGTGCAGGTATGGACACTCAAGCCAACTGACGAGCTGCGGCGGAAGGCAGATCAGGGACGTGGTGCGATGTGGTACGTGTTGGTTTCAACCAGCCATGCCGAGGTCCCCTCTCTGAAGAAGGCGGGACGTGTGCGAGTCCGCTGCATGGAAGGTGATGTCCTGTGCACCTGCCTCAGCTTGCCTGCACCCGGGTACCCTTTTCAGATCCTTGCATTTGCGGCTTGTGGCGGGGCTCCGAGGCATCAACACCAGGCTTTGGTGGCACAGCACGCACATCCCGGCACGTTGCAAGCTCTCCCTGAGTGCTACCTCGACTGCACTGGAGCTTGGATTCTGGTTCTCAGCCAACCCTTGAGTTAAAGACTGGTTTGGGAGATTCGATGCAAAGGGCAGTCAATGCTCACGGACACGTCTTGCTGTTCTGGTTTCGCAGGCTTCGCCAAGTTTTTCTGAATGCTGTCGTTGTCTTCGACTTGTCGTTGGCACGATGTTCGAGTCCCAGGTTGCTCGGGACATGTGCGGGCCCCAGGCTGCAGGAAATCGTATGACTTTGGACACCGTGTGTCGTCAAGGTACCTAGATGGCACTCGTCCTGGAGCCTGCGACATGACCAATGTGGATGGTGCGCACTCCTGTGCTCTTTGATTCGTTGGATTGATGCTTCCGAGCTATGCAGAGCCTTCGGCTAAAAAGGTCACTACGCATTGAAACCTATTCAGAAAGGTGCAGGGTGCTGAGACGTGCTGAGTGTTCAGGGATCGTTTCTATCTGCAGTCGGTGTGGGTGTGGTGATGTTACCGCGAAAGAGTTCGCAAGGCCGTCATCTTCACTGAGGACACCGCGCCGCAGCTTCAGCTCCCAAGGCAAGGTGCAGCCTCGGAAACTTCCGTGTGATGGTGGCGTCGAGAAAGGAGCTCTACTTCGAACTGCGAGCTGCGGGAGAGCGCGTGGCTTGATCTTCAGTTCTGTCCTCGTTCTGCACTTCACAGTGTCAGGTCAGCGAGGAAGTCTGGTGGTGGTGGCCCCCTGGCCAAGTCTCAGACCTGCGTGACCGGCAGTGGAGCGAGAATCAGTGGAATGTCAGGCCAAGCGCCCCATCAAGAAAGGAGAGTGGTTTTCGCTCAGCGACAGCGATGTCGAGAGCACTCAGGCAGAGGACCGACGGGCCGTGAACCCGCGCCTGCAGCCGCTGCATTTGCAGACAGTCTTTCAGAGGAGCCCAGAGGAACCAAACGCCGGCAGTGAGAACGGGCGGATCGCCGCAAAGAACAGTTCACACATGCGCGGGAAAGAGGCTCAGTTGGTAGCATGAGAGATGGTGTAGCTGCCAGAAAAACAGTTGCGCATCTCTGCCGCTGTGGCCGCTATGCGTGAAAGGGCTTGACCATCAATGACGACGACAAACTTGAAGCTGGATTTCTGCATTGTTGCAGTTCCTGACGGTCTGTGCTCCTGCCGAAGGAGTTGACGCTCAAAGAAGATGTTACCGGAGTTGCTGCAAGGAGCAATGCGCTGAAGAGTTAATGAAGTCATCTACATGCACTCGTGCCATGACCGCCATATCATCTTGCACGGCGCGCCTGCTTGATTCATTCAGACACAAGCTGTAATCCGACATATGCTACACCAGTCGAGCAAGATCGCACCCACTCGGCTCCCGCCAGCCACATCAGCTCCAACAGAAGACTGAGTATGAGATAGTCTTAGCACATGTGCCTACATGGAGTGCCATGGACAAGCGCCTCCCGCACCGGATCAGGGACATTCGACTGCAGCTCCAAGCGTCTGGCAAGACTGCCACTGCCGACGGCGCCTTGAGCAGACATGTCGCGTCCAGAGTTTCAGGGTCAGGTCTCGACTGTGGTCAGAAGGTTTGCAATTTGCAAATATTGGGCTGTGGCGGAGTCAAGACGAGGGATGTTTCATTAGATTGATGGGGAGGATCGAAGAGGAGGTGGGGGGTATACATGCGTATGGGCTCTAATTTAAGGGTTCCGGTGTTAGGGATTGCAGGTTTTTTTTGATTTCAGGTTTCAGGGATTATGGTGATGTTGGGAATTGGGGTCTCTGGGAGACTCTGGTCTCTGGGTCCTGTGACCAGCGTCTCTGGATGTCTGTGGTTTCATGCTGACCTCCGACTCTGAGACCAGGTGTGAAGGATGAGCTGTGCAAAAACTTCGCTGAGTATGGCAGATTAAAGCAGCAAGCCCTGAGGAAGCTGGTGCTGCAAGAGCTGAGTACCCCGTTGCCGGCCACCGAAACATGTGGCCCCGAAAGCCGCGAATGTCAAGATGCGCCGACTGCTGGCCCGCCGAAGAAGAAGCGCCGGAAGGATGCAAAAATTGCTCCTCAGGACACAGCTTTTCCAGACCGGCCTCTCAAAGAAAAGGAGGGGATGAACGAGTCGATGCGGAGGCTTTACGCTCAAGGACCTGCGAGTGCGACGGCCACGGCTCGTGCACCGGACGAGAAGGTCGAGGGAGCCTCTCGGCGCGTCCGAGAGAAGGCTATGGCTGCAGCCCGCCGGGAGCAAGGACTGCCGGAACCGCGCGGCTCCGGTTTTCAACCAGAGGAACGGCCTGAGGAAAGGCTTGAGGATCTCGGAGGCGTCAACGAGATTCTCTTGGACTTGCGCCAGCTTGTCGTTCAGCCTCTTAGCCATCCGGAGGTTTTTCAGCACCTTGGTGTCCAGCCTCCGACTGGGGTTCTTCTTTTTGGACCGCCAGGATGTGGAAAGACCAAGATCGCTCATGCCATCGCCGGTACGACTGGGGTCCCGTTCTTCAAGATCGCTGCCACGGAGATTGTCTCAGGCATGTCGGGTGAGTCGGAAGCGAAGATCCGCCAGCTTTTCCAGGCTGCCATGGCCGCGGCCCCAAGTTTGATCTTCCTGGACGAGGTCGATGCCATCACGCCCAAGCGTGACTCTGCGGGTCGTGAGATGGAGCGCCGCATTGTGGCGCAACTTCTCACATGCCTTGATGAGCTTCAGAAGGCCAACGTCATTGTCCTTGGGGCTACAAACCGACCCGATGCCCTTGACCCAGCTCTCAGGCGCGCAGGACGCTTCGATCGTGAGATCGCCATGGGCATACCAGACGAGGCCGCGCGTGCCCGAATCCTGGAGAAGATGGTGACGGGCATGCGCCTGGCAGAAAACTTGGATCTGCAATTCTTGGCGAAGAAGACGGCTGGATTTGTAGGTGCAGACCTGTCGGCTTTGACGAAGGAGGCAGCTCTTGGAGCCGTCCAGCGGGCATTTTCTGGACTGCAGTCTCAACGGAGTGAGCAGAGCCAGCAGAGTGAGCCGACGGAGTCCTCCGACACATCGCTTCTCCGGCCGTACACTGCGGAAGAGATGGCGAATCTGGCAATCGATGCTAGAGACTTCACAGAAGCACTCACCAGAGTCCAGCCGTCGGCGCGGCGTGAAGGCTTCTCAACCATTCCAGATGTGAAGTGGGACGATGTCGGCGCACTGCAAGAGGTCCAAGCCGACATGGACGCAGCGGTCTGCGAGCCGATTCGCCAGGCGGAGCTCTTCAGAGAGCTTGGTTGGAGCCCCAGCGTGACACATCAGCGTTGGGTCACCGAGTGCGTGTCTCTGTCTGTGTCTGCGTGTGTGTGTGTGTGTGTGTGCGCGCAAGCTCTGCCTGTGTCTGGCTTGGCAGCTTTCTCGCTGGGGGATGCACAACACGAGCTTTAGAAACTTTAGAACAAAGCAAAACGGCAGCGGGTGCCAGCAAACCTGTAGTTAATATTTGGTATGAAGCCTTGACCGTTCTTGTAGTCCGAAGCCAGAAACTCATGCCAGTCACCAGCCAACAGTTCAACACTTCGCAGAACCGTCCGGACATTGCTTGGGTGGTGTGGGAGCCGGAATGGCCAAACCAGCCACCCCCAAGAAGGACAGAACCCTATGGCTCCTCACCAGTAGGCGCATCGGCATCTCAGCAGTTGCAGGACACCTTTGCGGTGGATCTATACCCGGCACCGCTGATCAAGTGGCACCCATCCGTCGAGCAGCATGAGTCTCTCGTCATGGATGCGGAGAAGCGTGGCTTGATCAACAAGCAGCCACCTTAGTGCAGGTGCTGCAAGAGCCCCTTGTTTGCCAGTTCTGGCCCGCAGTCACTGGAGAACGAGGCCCAAGCCGGTGCATACCCGAAGCACCTCAAACACAACTACAAAGATTGGAAGCCAGGCACGTGGACGGCTATCTCCATCTTTTAACTAGGCTCTATGGGTTCCTTTCAAGCGGTACAGTGCGCCCTGTGAGGATGAGGAGCTGACAGTGCGGCTCAAAGCAGCGATTGCGTTGGAACCGCCTGTGGAGCCCTCGGGCCTCTCGGCTAAGATCGAGGGAGAGGTGCAGTGTGACCGGGCTTCAAAGTCATAAAATGACTTGGTTCGCAACGAATGTGCTGAGGCGGCTACCGAGCCACAGCTTTCTATCAGAGCGAGGGTTTGGAACCGCGGGAAAGGCGGAAATGTGAGCCGAAGCAGGCACCGGAGTTCAGGAAGCCCAAGCCCGAAGGTAGAGTATGCCATCCAGGATGATCCTACTGTTTGGGGCTTCTCTTGGAGTCAAATTTCTTAAGTCCCTGAAACAAAGCTCGGAGTCACAGGGGATGTTTTTTTTTTGGTGTGGTTTGGTGGTCTGTTGGAGTTGTACCTTTAACCGTGCCTTGTCAGATTCCCTTGAAAGAGTGCCTTGCAGGGGGCCTGCAAGTGTTGTGTTTAGGGTTTCTCTTACGAGCATTGGGCATCTTTTGCTTGGAATGCCGAGTGCTCCTTGACTGTTTGGGGTCTACGCTGGCATAATTTGAACAGGCTGGAGGCGAGTTTTGTGTAGTTGCTTCATTCTTCGCACGGACAGGCTGCCGAAAGCAAATATGGTAAGAAGATGCACGATTGTTTTTTGGAGGCAGGTCCGCAAAAGCATGGGCATGTGCTGTGGAGAGGCTGCGATGCCTTTTCCCCACTCAAAGCTGCCCTTCCAAGGCCCAATTCCGCATACCGTACAACTCCCGTGCGCTGTGGCAGCAGTCAGCGATGTTTTCCAACTGGCATGGTCAGCAGCGCAATGCAGCACTAATTGTAAGATACCTCTGCTGAAGCCGAGGAGCAGTTTGTCAAGGTGGCAGTGTATGCGGTGGCTGACCGTGCGGATGTGCCAGTTGGTGAAGCCACAGTGCCCATTGCGGACCCAAAGGCCGAGACCATGACTGGCTGGTGGCACGGCTGCAAGAAGATGCTGGCAGATCCTACTGCATTGCGGGGAGCTTGCATGTCGCAGGGCAGTCGAAGCAGAATAAATCGTCCAGAATCGACAAAGCGCCCGCTAAATGGGCCGCAAGTCGGCCACAAGCATTGCGCTAAGTGAGTTGACCTCCCCAGCACGATCTAGTTCCTCGCATGATCTTTCATGTTTCGGGCGCACATACCCGTAGCCATACCTTCAAGCTTGGGTTTAACCGGTGTTTGCAGCTATCCGGAACAATTAGAGCGGACCGAACACATCGCGTGGATGTCCGGGTCACCGCACGGGGTTCATTGGCTGCAAAGACACATTTATGCAGGGGCTTAAAGCTGGCCGGGTTCCGGTACAGGAGCAGCCGCTCGCAGAAGGACATAGTTATTCCACTCCTTGGTTCTTTCTCGAGCACTTTGATGAGATGTGTCCACAAGTTCATGTTACTCGTTCGACCTCTGAACACGCCTCCCTGTCTATCTGAGTCCCACACCGCAAAACCCCAGTGTTCCAGCGCAGAGTTCGACTCTCAGGCGACTTATGCAGGACTTCGAAGAGACCGGGGAGGCTAGGTTGGAGGTTGCGCATCACTGCATGTGAAAGAGCTCTCCTGCGTTTCAGTCAGGTCGAGCTCCAAGTGGTCTTCCCCGGAGATGATGTTTCAGTAGCAGAAACAGCCGATAAGTCGACTGAAAGCTACGAATCCAAGTTGCACGTCAGGCTCTTCGTCATTCTTGTTTCGGTCATACGTGAATCATACTTGGGCAATTGCGTCAGCAGACACAGGGTTGGAGGCGGTCTATGCTTACATCGGCATTTTTCGATCACGAGTGGAGGTGACGCTTGTTGTTACTCACTGAACGCAACACTGCAGACGACCTGCAAGGACCTGGAAGCAAAGTACGCCTCCGTGGCTTCAAAGTCTGTGGTGGAATCTGTGGGTGAGCTGCAGTCGAAGCAAGATTCTGCTGAATCGATGGTCCCAGAACCTACGAGTCACATGTCGGACACGCGGCCCGCCTGCATAAGTGCAGAGAGGACAGCACTGAGAGAAGGGCGTGTAGAGAAAATCACACGCCAACTTATTTCCCGCGTAATAGACCCATCTAATACAAATAAGAGGCTGGCAGGCTGAGAATGAAGAATGAAGACGAGCCAACACGCGACCCAACCTGTGCATGTCCACTGGAAGAAGCAGATGCATTCGCTACCATTTTCACTGCGCTAGGACAGAAGACCGAAGTGCCACCAGCAGGCCAAAATCGCACTGAAATGTCAGAAGACGTAGCCTCCCATCTACAATCCTGCGACCTGCCAAGGCAAATCAAGCCCTGGATAGATCAACAGCACACGAAGAGGATTTCACGCTTTTTCTTGTTGCAAGATGGACCAGTGGGAAGATATTGCATCGGTTGGGGTTTGTCTGCTCCCATCGGATTGTCCGAGTGTTGCGGCGGTGTCGACCACTGGGCTCTTTGCAGTTGGAAGGTCCTCGTCACGGGAGCAAAAACAGTGCGAACCAGCCAGCAAGAGAAACGCTAGATACCCGCACATGTACATGCACATTCCACATACATAGATTACATAGAGGCATTCAGATACGATGTACGTAGATGTATAGAAACGCACAGATTCATTTAAAGATGGCCGGCTAGCTAGCCAGCCAGCTATATTCATCGATACATAGATAGATAGGTCGATAGGTAGGTCGATGGATGGGATAGATGGATTGACAGACACAGACAGACACAGACAGACAGAGAGAGACAGACAGAGAGAGACAGACAGAGACAGAGACAGACAGAGACAGAGCCAGAGCCAGACAGAGACAGAGACAGAGACAGAGACAGAAACAGACAGAGACAGAGACAGAGACA